ACCTCAAAGTCAATGGCGCGACCCTCAGCGTCAAAAGCTAGGACACTAGGGGTAGCCATGACGATGACAGCGAAGCAGTGTAAGCAGTAGGGGAAGAGCACGCAGTGACAGTGGGACTGTGCTCACCAGGCAGGGCAGGCCGGGCAACTCTGCAGAAGGGCGGCTCGGCGACTCAGCGACTCGGCTTCTGGGCGGCTCGGCTCCCGGGCGGCTCGGCGGCAGGGCGGCTCTGGTGCAGGGCGGCTCGGCTCCCGGGCGGCTTGGCGGCAGGGCGGCTCGGCTCCCGGGCGGCTCGGCGGCAGGGCGGCTCGGGTGCGGGGCGGCTCGGCTGCACTGCTGCTCGGCTGCTGCAGGTGGGCGGCTCGGCTGCTGCAGGTAGGGTGGCGGGGCCGCGAGACCAGGGGCGGCGGGGCCGAAGTAGCAGGGCCGTCAGGTGCAGTGGCGGGGACTGCGGGGCCGCGGCTGGTGGAGCGGCGAGGCCGGCAGAGAGGGCGGCGGAGCCGCGGCTGAGCAGGCGGCGGGGCCGGCGGCGTAACGGGCGGCGGGGCCGCGTCGTAGTCGGCGGCTGGGTCGCGTCAGAGCAGGCGGCGGGGCCGCGTCAGAGGTGGTGGCGGGGCCGCGTCAGATCAGGCGGCGGGGCCGCGTCAGAGGTGGCGGCGGGGCCGCGTCAGATCAGGCAGCGGGGCCGCGTAGGAGGTGGCGGCGGGGCCGCGTAAGAGGTGGCGGCGGGGCCGCGTCAGATCAGGCGGCGGGGCCGCGTCACAGGTGGCGGCGGGGCCGCGTCAGATCAGGCAGCGGGGCTGCGTAAGAGGTTGCGGCGGGGCCGCGTCAGAGCAGGCGGCAGGGCCGCGACGTAGCTGGCGGCGGGGCCGCGATCGGGTGGCGGGGCCGCGACGTGGCGGCGGGGCCGCGATCGGGAGGCGGGGCCGCGATCAGAAGGGGTGGCGGGGCCGCGTCTGAGGGACGGCGGGGCCGCGAGGGAAAGGGCGACTCGAGGGGTCGCTAAAAAAAAAAGTGCGCGCCTCGGGGCGCGCTTCGGTGGGCCCTAGGCAAAGTTCCCACAGGGAACTCGCTCTATACCATATCAGAAATAAATGACCAGGAATGGGAATGACTAGGTCAGTGTTGGGTACAAATACAACCCTAGGAAGCTGTACCCCAAATGTGCTACCCCACTATAGCCTACAAACATGCATCAGCTATAATATTCTGACACAACTCCGACACGTATCGACACTCACCCGGACATCGCGCCTCCGAAGAAACCTGGCACGCACGATTGGGACATCCAAGCAACACAGCTTTAAACAACACGATAAGAGCAGGAGTTCTCGACAAAGACTCCTTACTACTACCCGACGGCAGAGAACTTCAAAAGGCACGAGGGACTTGCCTTACATGCCCTGAAGCTGACTTACCTCATCGACCGTTCGCTCCTCATCACAACCCGAGCGCACCGGCGTATGCACCACTCGAGAAGGTGTACAGCGACATCCTCTACAATCGCGAACCAGGACAAGTCACCTACAATTACACAATTACCTTCATCGACGCCGTCATTCGATATGTCTGGCATCTAAACCTACCCAGCCGCGACATGGCTCTCGCAGCGTTCGCCACTTGGCTACCGGTAGCAGAGAGGGAATCAGGAACACAACTGAAAAGCTTCCAGTCAGACGGAGGAGGAGAATACACCTCTCAGCGATTCAAGCAGTACCTGGCGGAAAGAGGAATCAAGCAACTCCTCTCCCTTCCCTACGCCCACCAGTAGCAAGGTGTCGCTGAACGAATGAATAGGACTCTGCAGAACAGCATGCGCAAACTATTACGTGGCATGCGGCTACCCAACCACCAGTGGCCTGCAGCAATGGACCATGCTGTCATGCTGCACAACTTGCTGTCGTCGTCGTCACTCCCGAACAACGCATCACCGCATCTGCTGTGGACAGGGAAGCAGGGCAGCACAAAAATGTTATGAGTTTTCAGGTGCATGGTACAGTACCGACCCCCAGAAGCACGAGCGGGAAGATTTTCACAACGGGCACAGTGGGGACTACACCTCGGCATCGAGAAAAATTACAACGCGTGGAAAATCTTCGACGTCCACTCAAAAGAAATAGTAGCAGCACGTGATGTGATCTTCTACGAATGACTCACCCTTCAGACGTACCTCGCCAACTTGCACGAGAATCAGGACCCCACAGGTGGCTTTCGTGGTGACCGAGCATTCGCCTCTGCAGCAGACGAAGCAGACTGGGACGAGCAAAACGTCGACAACGCATCCGAAGAAGCCGGAACTCTCCCGTTCTGCTCCGTCAACGTCCCCATGGACGAAGAAAATCCTCGCGAAAGTGCCAACGCCGAAGTATTCTATCACTTCGCCGACAATAGTTACGTAACACCTGCAACAGCCAACACCAACGAAGCAGAAAGGGTAGGACCGAATTTCATACCCGACCCAGAAGCGGGAGACGAAGCAGCTTATGCCGAGGACACAACACTCCCCCGCTACTCACAGACCGGACTGCAGATTCTCGGCCTCATCACCGCCGTCCATGGCTCCTCTCTTCCTAAAGAGCCTGCGACAGTTCGACAGGCTCTTGGGGGGGAACACAGAGAGAAATGGCGTGAAGCCATGGACAAAGAGCTAAAGGCGTTGGAGGAACGCAACACCTGGAAGGTCGTTCCAACAAGCATAGCGAGAAACAAGACCATTCTCACCGGGAAGTGGGTCTTCCGCATCAAAACAAAAGCAGATGGTACAATTGAGAAGTTCAAGGCACGATGGGTCGTGCGAGGATTTGATCAGGAACAGGGCCGGGACTTCACAGAAACATTCGCCCCGGTTAGCCGACATACCTCTCTCCGAATCCTTCTCGCGATCGCCGCCATGAAGAAGAAGAAGCTGCGACAAATTGATGTCGCTAACGCCTTCCTCTACGCACCCATCGACGCCGAAATCTTTGTCGAACTCCCTCACTGTACCCACGGGGAACCCAATCAGGTCTGCCAGCTACTAAAATCTCTCTACGGAATCAACAGGCCCCACGGCTGTGGCAACAGCACCTGCACACCCGCCTCATCCGCATCGGATTCCGCTGTCAGAACATATCTATAGCTTATACTGCTGTGTAGGCTGTAGTGGGGTATCCCATAGGGGGTACAACACAGTTAGGGTTTCATATTTGTACTGCTTTCATTCATAGTTCACTCATTCCTGCTTACTCCTTTTCACATGGTATAGAGCTAGGTCCCTCCAGGACCGAAATTTTTGGGCCCACCGAAGCGCGCCCCCGAGGCGCGAATTTTTTTTTTTAGCGACCCCTCGAGTCGCCCTCTCCCCTGCGGCCTTGCCGCCCACTCTGTCGCGGCCCCGCCCTGCTCCTTACGCGGCCCCGCCGCCTGCTCCTTACGCGGCCCCGCCCCGGCCCTTTCGCGGCCCCGCGTCGCCTCCTACGCGGCCCTTACGCGGCCCCGCGCCGGCCCCTTACGCGGCCCTTACGCGGCCCTTACGCGGCCACGCCGCCGGCTCCTTACGCGGCCCCGCGCCGGCCCCTTACGCGGCCCTTACGCGGCCCTTACGCGGCCACGCCGCCGGCTCCTCCGCGGCCCCGCGCCGGCTCCTTACGCGGCCCAGCCCCGGCCCTTACGTGGCCCAGTCCCCGGCCCCTACGCGGCTCCGCGCCGGCTCCTACGCGGCCCTTACGCGGCCCCGCGCCGGCCCCCCCCCCCCTTACGCGGCCCTGACGCGGCCACGCCGCCGGCTCCTACGCGGCCCCGCGCCGGCTCTCACGCGGCCCCGCAGCTGGCTCCTACTCGGCCCCGCAGCCGGCCCCTTAAGCGGCCCCACCGCCGGCCTCCTACGCGGCCCTGCCCCGGCTCCTATCACGGCCCCGCCCCGGCTCCTTCGCGGCCCTGCCCCGGCTCCTACGCGGCCCTACCGCCGGCCCTGACGCGGCCCCGCCCCGTCTCACTTCTACGCGACCCGAGCCGCGTGTCGCCGAGCCGCCCGGGACCCGAGCCGCCCTGCAGCCGAGCCGCCCGGGAACCGAGCCGCCCTGCACCCGAGCCGCCCTGCAGCCGAGCCGCCCGGGAGCCGAGCCGCCCTGCACCCGAGCCGCCCTGCCGCCGAGCCGCCCGGGAGCCGAGCCGCTGTACACCTGAGCCGTCCGGTCGCCGTTCTGCTTTTCTGTCGAGCTGCGCGACCTGCCCTGCCTGGTGAGCCCAGTCCCACTGTCACTGCGTGCTCTCCCCCCTACTGCTTGCACTGCTTCACAGTCGTCGTCATGGCTACCCCTAGTGTCCTAGCTTTTGACGCTGAGGGTCGCGCCATTGATTTTGAGGTCTGGCTAGACGACCTGCAGCTGTTCTTACAGTGCGACAGGGCTGATGACCTTTCTCTCTTTGACCTCACCTCTGGCGCCTCTCCTGCTCCTACTGCTGATGCTGATCCCGCTGTCCGCTCTAAGTGGGCCACCCGCGATGCTGCTGCACGTCTTGCTGTGCGTCGCCACCTCCCTACCTCTGAGCGTGCGCACTTTAGTCAGTACAAGAGTGCTCAGACCTTGTACGATGCTGTAGTTGCGCGCTACTCCTCCCCTGCCACTGCTGCACTGAGCCGTCTCATGCTTCCCTACCTCTTTCCTGACCTCTCTGCCTTTCCCACTGTCGCTGACCTCATTACGCACCTCCGCACTAGTGACACTCGCTACCGCGCCGCCCTTCCTGCTGAGTTCTGCGCTAGGAACCCCCCCCCCATGTACATCGCTCTCTACTACGTAGTCGCGCGCCTCCCTGACTCCCTTCGCGTCGTCAGGGACCACTTTCTCGCAGTCTGTCCCACCACTCTCACCGTCGACCTCCTCGAGAAGGCCCTCCTTGCAGCGGAGAAGAGCATAGTCGCTGTAGGTGCTTCTCGTGGTGACCCTCGCACCCCCATCTTTGAGGGGTGCTCTCCTTCCCCCTTGCTGCCCTCTGTTGCCTCTGCTGCTGCTGCCGACCTACTTGGTCTTGAGTCGGTCGGCGCGGCGTCTGCCCCTAGTGAGAGACGTCGCTCCAGCAAGGGCAAGGGAGGCAAGGGCGCGGGTGGAGCTGGGGGGGGCGGTGGCGGTGGCGGCGGTGGCGGCGGAGGGAGTGGGGGTGGCGGCGGGACTAGTGGCGGGGGTGGTGGTGGTGGTGGTGGCAGCAGCGGCGGAGACGGTGGTGGTGGTGCCAGCGGTGGTGGTGGAGGCAGCGGCGGAGGTGGAGGCGGCGGAGGTGGAGGCAGGGGAGGCGGCAGCAGAGGAGGCAGTAGTGGTGGAGGAGGTGGAGCTGGTCGGGGTGGTACCCAGCAGCGTAGCGGCGGTGGTGGTGGCCAGCGCTCGCACCGGCAGCAGCAGCAGCGCTCGCGGGACATCCCTTCGCCTCAGCAGCTTCGTGAGTGGTACGCTGGGCGTCAGAGGGGTGGGGGTACTGGTCCCTGCACCTACGTTCTTCGTTCCGGCGACCGCGCGGGTGAGCAGTGTGGGGGTGCCCACGCCACCCAGCGCTGCTTTGGCCGCCTGACGGACGCTTGGCGTCAGCAGTTCCCTGGGGCTAGTGAGATCCCTCGCTGGGATGAGCTTCTCAGGGCTGGTGTAGCGATCTTTGATCTTGATTTTGATGCTATCCTTACTGCTATGTATGTTGTGGATTATAGTGAGGAGAATGAGGGTTACCAGTGTTTCCAGCCCGACCCGGGCATTGGTACTGCTGCGCTAGGTGCTTGTGAGGCTGCTGCTCTAGGTGCCAGTGCGTCTGCGCTCTCAGGTACTAGTGAGACTGCGCTCTCAGGTACTGAGTCGTCCTCGTCCTCCCTCACTTTCACACTTGACTCCGGAGCTTCTCGCTCCTTCTTTCGAGACCGCACTACCCTTTCGCCGCTCGCCAGGCCGGTTGCGGTCTCCCTTGCTGACCCCTCTGGGGGTCCTGTCCTGTCTCACTTCTCCACTGTCCTCCCGTGTCCGGCTGCCCCTTCGGGCACCCTGTCGGGTCTGTACCTTCCCTCGTTCTCTACGAACTTGGTGAGTGGAGCGGACCTGCAGGATGGGGGTGTTCACCAGTTCACTCCTGCGCGTCAGCGGGTGACCCACAGCACGGAGGCTCGCACAGGCCGACACCTGGCCACGTTCGCACGTCGGCCGGGGTCGAGTCTCTACACCCTGACCGTTGAGTCTCCTCCTGTCCATGCGTCTGGTCAGGTGGCTGCGTCGGGTCAGGTGCTTGCTGCTGCGTCCGGTCAGGTCCTGAGTCTGCCCCCTGTTCTTGTCGCCTCCTGTCTCACGAGACTCTCCTGTGGCACCACCGTCTTGGCCACCCCTCCTTGCCCCGTCTTCGGAGCATGGCTTCCCGTGTCCTTGTCTCTGGTCTTCCCCAGTCTCTCCCTCCTCTCCCCTCCGGGCCAGGACCTTCCTGTGTCCCCTGTGTCGAGGGTCGCCTCCGGGCTACTCCTCACTCCTCCCACTTCCCCCCGACAGAGGCTCCCCTGCAGACGCTTCACATGGATGTGTGGGGCCCAGCCCCCGTCCGTGGGCAGGGTTACGAGCGCTACTTCCTGTTGGTGGTTGACGACTACTCGCGTTACACCACAGTCCTCCCCTTGCGCAGCAAGGGTGCGGTCACTGAGGTGCTGATCGACTGGATCCGCGAGGCTCGTCTCCAGCTCAGGAAGAGCTTCGGCTCGGACTTTCCTGTTCTGCGTCTGCACTCTGACAGAGGCGGAGAGTTCTCTTCTCGCCTTCTGCGAGACTACTGTCGTGCACGGGGGATCCGCCAGACCTTCACGCTTCCGGACTCACCACAGCAAAATGGGATTGCTGAGCGCCGCATTGGCATGGTCATGGATGTCGCTCGTACGTCCATGATGCATGCGGCTGCCCCCCATTTTCTGTGGCCGTTTGCGGTGAGGTACGCGGCGCATCAGCTCAACCTTCACCCCCGGGTCTCTCGGCCTGCGATGTCCCCAGCCTTGCTGTGGACGGGGAAGGTTGGCGATGCGTCTGTGTTCCGTGTCTGGGGATCTCGGGCGTTTGTCCGCGACTTGTCTGCGGACAAGCTGTCCCCTCGTGCTGCTCCCTGTGTCTTCCTTGGCTTCCCCACTGACGCCCCCGGGTCGCAGTTTTACCACCCCTCCTCTCGTCGTGTTCTGTCCTCCCAGGACGTCACGTTCGACGAGTCAGTCCCCTTCTACCGTCTCTTCCCCTACCGCACTCCTTCCCTCCCCCCTCCCCCGGACTTCCTTGTGCCGGTTCCCCCCCCGGTAGACCCCCTCCCCCCTCAGGTTCCTGCCCCCTCAGGTGTGTCCCAGGTAGACGCCGTTGACCCGGTCGAGGTTACTGGTGACTCTGGTGCTGCTGCGGGTGCTGAGCCTGGGGGTGCTGACTCTGGGGGTGCTGTGCGCGGGGGTGCTGAGCCTGGGGGTGCTACTGCTGGGGGTGCTGGGCCTGAGGGTGCTACTGCGGAGGGTGCGGAGCCTGGGGGTGCTGAGCCGGGGGGGTGCTGTGCCTGGAGGTGCTGGGTCTGGGGGTGCTGGGTCGGGAGCTGCTGAGCCTGGGGGTGCTGAGCTGGGAGCTGCTGAGCCTGGGGGTGCTGCGTCTGGAGCTGCTGAGCCTGGGGTTTCTCCTGCTGCTGCGTCTCGCCGGGAGCCCCTCTCTCCACAGGAGCTGCGCGAGTGGTTCGCTCGCCGCTGGAGGCGTGCTGCTGAGTCTGGAGGTGCTGCTGGAGCTGGAGCTGGAGCTTCTTCGACCGTCGAGGGTGCGGGTGCAGCCGGTCCCGGAGCTGCTGGACCTGCGGGTCCTCCTGGAGCTGGAGCTGCTGAGGGCGTTCGTGCTGAGCCTGCTGCTGTTGGTCCTGCCGCTGGAGGTGTGGGTGGCGCTGGTGCTGTCACTGAGGGTGCTGGTGCTGTCCCTGCTGAGTCTGGAGCTGCCGCGCGGCCTCGGCCGTACTTCGTTCCGCTCCTTCAGCAGGTTCTTGGTCTTTCTCCTCCAGTAGAGGGTCCACCGCCTGTCTAGTCGCAGTCCCTACTGGAGCCTTCCTCTCCACTGCCTGCTCCCTCTCCTTACACTGGTCCTACTGGAGGTCTTGCTGAGCGTCGTGAGCCTGCGTCTCGTCCCGCGTCGCCTGTTCGTGCTGCTCGCGCTAGTGGTCGCAGTTCGCGTCAGCGTCCTCCTCCTGTCCCTGGCACGCACCGGATGTCTCTGCGTCCGTCCACTGCTCCTCTGCGTGCCCCTTTGCCTTCTCCTCCTGAGTCCTCTCTTCCTGCGCTTGCCGACCCTGAGTCGGACTCTCTTCGTGCTGCCAGTCCCACTGTCACGCGTCTGCTTGCTACTGTTGTCACTGACCCCTCTTTTGAGTCCACTGCTGCGTCTGCTCTAGTCGCTGAGCTCGTCGACTTTGCTGCTCGCTGTCGTCTCGACTACGCTGCTAGTCTTGTTGCTGAGTCTGCGTCTGTCTGTCCTCCGTCCGTCGGGGGTGAGTGTGCTCTTGGCACGGACGTCCTTGAGGACAGGCAGGAGGAGTTCCAGTGTCTAGCGGCTGCTTCACCTCATCTCGCGTCTGTACTGCTTGCCCCTGAGGGAGACCCGGATGCACTAGACATCCCGACTCCGCGTTCTTACGCGGAGGCCGTAGAGGGCCCCTACTCCTCTCAGTGGCAGGCAGCTATGGATGCAGAGATGGCTTCCTGGAAGTCCACAGGCACCTACGTTGACGCGGTTCCCCCTCCTGGGGCGAACATCGTCAATGGCATGTGGATCTTCCGGGTGAAGCGGCCGCCGGGCTCTCCACCTGTCTTCAAGGCACGGTACGTTGCTCGTGGCTTCAGTCAGCGGCAGGGAGTTGACTACTTTCAGACCTTCTCTCCCACCCCGAAGATGACTACTCTTCGGGTGCTGCTGCACATAGCCGCTCAGCGCGACTACGAGCTTCACTCTCTCGACTTCAGCACTGCGTTCTTGCAGGGTAGCCTGCACGAGGAGATCTGGCTTCGCCGTCCACCTGGCTTCACTGGGACTTTCCCTCCTGGCACCCAGTGGAGCCTCCGACGGCCAGTCTACGGTCTCCGCCAGGCACCGCGTGAGTGGCACGACACACTGAGGACTACGCTTGCAGCTCTTGGGTTTGCTCCTTCTACTGCTGACCCGTCGCTGTTTCTTCGCACCGACACTTCCCTGCCGCCGTTCTACATCCTCGTGTACGTCGACGACCTGGTCTTTGCCACAGCGGACACTGCTGGACTCGCCTACGTGAAGTCCGAGCTGCTGAAGAGACACACGTGCACAGACCTGGGTGAACTGCGCAGCTACCTTGGCTTGCAGATCACTCGGGACAGAGCACGCCGCACCATTACCTTGACTCAGTCACACATGGTGCAGCAGGTCCTTCAGCGCTTCGGCTTCACGTACTCCTCGCCTCAGGCCACTCCTCTGCCTACTCGCCACTCACTCTCAGCTCTGCCTTCGGATGAGTCCGTAGAGTCGAGTGGTCCGTATGCAGAGCTTGTTGGCTGCCTCATGTACCTGATGACCTGCACACGACCTGACCTTGCATACCCTCTGAGCATTCTTGTGCGCTATGTTGCTCCTGGGAGACACAGACCGGAGCACATGGCTGCAGCGAAGAGGGTATTGGGCTACCTGTGCAGTACGTCGGGCATGGGGCTAGTGCTTGGAGGGCGGAGTCCAGTGGTCCTTACCGGCCACGCGGACGCTTCTTGGGCTGACGACCAGGCTACGCAGCGGTCGTCACAGGGTTACACCTTCAGCCTTGGTTCCGGCTCTGTCTCGTGGCGGTCTACTCGCTCGTCTTCGGTTCTCGGCTCCAGTTGTGAGGCTGAGATCTACGCCGGGGCCATGGCTGCACAGGAGCTTCGCTGGCTCACCTACCAGCTGACTGACCTTGGAGAGCCGCCTCGTTCTCCTCCAGTGCTGTACGTAGACAACAAGGCTATGCTGGCCTTGTGTCGAGAGCAGCGCTTGGAGCACAGAACGAAGCACATTGCTCTCCGCTACTTCCTTGCTCGTGAGCTGCAGCAGCGTGGTCAGTTGCGACTTGCATACGTGGCCTCTGAGGCCAACACTGCTGATGTGTTCACCAAGGCACTTGCGCCTTGTGACCATCAGCGCTTCTGCACCCAGCTGGGTCTTGTGCCTGTCTTGCCTCACTTGCTCTCCTCTTGACTTTACTTGTACTGTGACATATATATATACCTGCTCTTGCTTGTCTAGCTTTATATATATGTCTGTACTCTTGCTTGTGAACTGGCCTTTGGCCTTGCTCTTGTGCTCGGACTGTGTGGTGACTTTGTGATCCACCCTGAGCTTTGCTTTGTCTTGCTTGACTGGTCTTGTGACCCCTTGTTCTCCCCCACTTTGCCTATGGGGGTGTGTCAGAACATATCTATAGCTTATACTGCTGTGTAGGCTGTAGTGGGGTATCCCATAGGGGGTACAACACAGTTAGGGTTTCATATTTGTACTGCTTTCATTCATAGTTCACTCATTCCTGCTTACTCCTTTTCACATCCGCCAACTGCCACACAACCAAGGCATGTACCGACTCACTAAAGGCGCCAACATCCTACTCATCGTCTACGTCGACGATCTCCTCTACATCGGCTCCACCGACGACGTCACCACCTGGTTCGAAGGGGAGCTGCAGAAACACCTCACGCTGACGGTCTCTTCTACCGTCACGCAGTATCTCGGGCTCAACATCCGCGAAGAAGAAAATAAGATCTATCTAAGCACCGAGAAATACGCCGACACGATCGCCAAGCGTTTTTCGCTCACACCTACCGCTATCGCCACGCCATACCGCTACACGGCAGGAAGTGACAAAGGAAATTCCGCTCCACTCAAAGCTGGCGGAATACAAGATTACCAGAGGAAACTGGGCTGCCTCCTCTTCGCAGCCGTCACCTGTCGCCCGGATCTATCCTACTCCGCAAGCCAACTCGCTACCTACCTCAAGAAACCCGAAGTAGAGCACCTGGCAGAGCTCGATCGCGCACTGCACTATTTCGCGAGCACGCCGACGATCGGCCTGAATTACTACAAGAACGAAGCTGCGTCAACGAAACTAATCGGCTATGTCGATGCCGACCATGCCGGCGATTCAGATAACAGGCGCTCTCGCACTGGCTACGTCTATCGTCTTGAGCCTATCGGACCTATCTCCTGGCAGTCGAGTAAGCAGGAACTAATCGCTCTCTCTTCAGCTGAAGCAGAATATATCGCCCTCTGCTCAGCCACCAAGGAAGGACTCTACCTTCGCGAACTGCTGGAAGAAGCAAAGTTAGCTGAGTTACCCAACTTCACCCCGTTCTGCGACAACCAATCTGCAATTCGCATCGCCAACAAAAGCGGATTCGCGAACAGAACGAAGCATATCGCTCTGCGATACTTCTTTGTGAAAGACGAGATCGAGAAAGGAAAACTCGAATTATCCTACTGTCCCACGTCTGAGATGGCAGCCGACTATTTGACCAAGAAGCTCGGAAAACAGAAGTTCGAGTACTTCATGCTGCTGACTGAACAAGGCCACGTCACCATCAGCGACACTCCAGAAGCGAAGGGGAGTGTTGGGAACGATAAGTCTTAAGCGCCTCTGTCGTGTCGAAACTCAGGACACAAAGCGAGGCAGTCCAAATCGAAGCATCGCGAGTCAACCCTCGGAGGTTAGGGTAACCGCCTGGAGGTTACGCGAAGGTCAAAGGTCAGCGACCTTTGACTTGACCAATACAGCGCGACAGCAAGGACACACAACTGACTCAACATTGAGCAGTTGCCCGAGTCGCACTGTACCGAATCGCAACAGCAAGGTAGTTTAATTATATCTATTCGTATTCCTTGTACTCTTATATAAAGCCTTGTATCTGCCTGTTTTAATCAACTTACTTTGCCCTCACATACTAGCGCAAGGTGGTTCAAGACCTTTATTCAACGCTTCCGCTATTACAATCCTACTCAGACTTTAACTCTACAAAGATCCTAGGGCTTCTCAGCCCAACAAAGTCAAAGGTCGCTGACCTTTGACCTTCGCATAACCTCCAGCAGTTTGTCAACCTCCAATGGTTGACTCACTATTGCTTCGTTGCTATTTTTTTCGTTTACACATTAGAAGCGTTAAGTTACTTGTTTCCAACAGAAAACGCAATCTACTGTTGTAGGCCCCGCTCCACAGCATGCTGACTTTAGATTTTACTAACATTTCCTGGCTATGAAAGAATGCACGAAAACATTGTGACTGTTACAAGAGAGCGAGGCATGAACGACGATCCGTATGTACACATTCGTGCTCGTATGCTATTTGTATATCAGAGGGCCACCATTTTTGGTAGGCCACCTTGACACAGAAACGCGGCAGCAGCGCCAGCACCACCATCAGCAGCACGTCCAACCAGAAGGTTGACGTGGCGATGGCGTATCGGAACGACCTGGGTGGGTGGGGGAGGGAGGGGAGGGAGGAGAGGATGATATTGAAAATGAGATGGACAAGGATGGAACAGAAGCGAGGCAGCAGCGCCAGCACCACCATCAACAGCACATCCAACCAGAAATTTGACGTGGCAACGGCGAATCGAAATGACCTGCAGGTGGAGGCCGAGAGCACGATGTTGAAATGCAACGGACGAGGGTACTTTACAGACAGAAGTACCGAATCAGAGTTGACGGGAAATCTAGCAGCATGGAAATGTTGCACACAACATAGTGAGGCAGAGAGATGGAGAGTAAGAGAGGCAGAGGTGCAAGGAGAGAATCTCATAGCACAGGGCACTCACCCATATTCAGGCAGCAGAGGGATGTAGTCAATAACCACTATCGAGACCACTGTAACGAGTATAGCGATCGCAATCGCAGCCGCGTGGAGCCACGTCCACCGTCGGATGTCCATCGCAAGATGCACTGTCACCACCAGCACCAGCGCCACCAGCCACGTCTGCCCCAACGCCCACATGTCGCCATCCAGCCCACTCACTGTTGCCACGCCCACCAGAAACAGCACCAGGCTCTGCCACGTGGCATCCAGCATGGCAGCCAGAAACACGGGCAGGTTGTAAGTTTCCTCGCGCTGCCCGGCGCCATAGAGCTGCGGCCAGGCGAGCAGGCGGGCGGGCAGGAGGGTTTGGTCGATGGAGGCGACGACGACGGTGGGGAGGGTGGTGTAGGTGAGCGAGAAGAACATGAGGCTCAGCTGGCCAATGGCTGGGGTGGTGGAAAATGCTGTTTGGGAGAGGTACCTGTTGTGAGAGAGGGGTTGGAGGAGGAGGAAAGGGAGAAAGGAAGAGAATTCTGAGATGGCCAATGACATGGGGTGGTGTAGGTGAACGAGAAGAACATGAGAAGGCTCAGCAGGCCGATGGCTGGAGTGGTGGAGCAGGGAGAGTACCTGTTTCACCAAGGGATTAGAGGAAGGAAGAAAGAAAGGAACATAGTTCTGAATTGGTAGATAAATCACATGAGCAGGAGCACGAAGGCAGTTTTTTGTAAACGAATGCCATGCGGATGTAGTTCCTCCAACCAATGCCCACAAACCACTTTTGGGCATTTCGAGACTCCACCAGAAGAGCAGGAGCACAAAGACGGTGTTCTTGTAGAGGTTGTAGACGATCATGTAGGCCATGCGGTGGTAGTTCCAGTGCCCGTGCACCAGCAGCAGGCGAGCGAGGAAGCGGAACTGCGAGATGGCGAAGTCGCTCGCCATCACCGCTTGTCTCCCCTCGTGGCCTCGTATGCCCACCCCTATGGCGGCAGTCTGAATCATCGGCACGTCGTTGGCGCCTGAGGGGAGGAGTGGGAGAGTGGGAATAAGAATAAAAGAGGGAGTGAGCAAAGGCAATGAGCACCAGCAGCAGGCGAGCGAGGAAGCGGAACTGCGAGATGGCAAAGCCAATCGCCATCACCGTCTGCCGACCCTTGTGGCCTCTGATTCCCACCCCTATTCATTCGTTGGCTCCTGAGTGAACACGCAGGAGAGGAGAATGGGGAAGAAAGAAAGAATGAAAGAGAGAAAGAGAAGAAGAATACGGAAGTGCTGGACAGCCTGCAGCCCCTCACATCCCCGTGCACCTGCTTGGATGTTTGATTGCCCTGATGTCGACTCACCATCCTCAACAGCGAAGGCTGATTTCCCTGGTATCAACCACTATCATCAATACCTAGTGCTCATTCCCCTGAGACCCACTGGCCATCTCTAGTTGTGAGGTTAATTCCCCTAAAATCAACTCACCATCGGCAATAGCGAGGGTTAATTCCCCCTAACATCAACTCACCATCGCCAATAGCGAGGGTTAATTCCCCTGACAGCTGCCTCACAAGTGCCACCACAGCAGCCTTCTGCATGGGCGCCACTCGACAGCACAGCACCACGGAGCAGCGCTGCGATGCTCGGAAGAACTGGCGGGGGAGGCAGGCGGGGAGCAAGATGAAAAGGGTGATGAGGTGAGGGCCACCACGGCAGCCTCCTGCATGGGCGCCACGTGGCAGCACAGCACCACGGAGCAGCGCTGTGATGCTCGGAAGAACTGGAGGATAGAGAGATGGGAGGGGGAAGGAGAGAGGAAATGGGGGAAGGAGGTTAGGACTGTCACTGTGGGGGCCACCACAGCAGCCTCCTGCATGGGCGCCACGTGGCAGCATAGCACCACGGAGCAGTGCTGTGAGGCACAGAAGAACAGGGGGAGAGGCGGAAGGAGAGAGAAATGGAAGGGGGAAATAGGACAGTCATTGTGGGGCGGAGCACAGCCTCAAAACAACACCAGAGAACGGAATGGGGGTCAAGGAGAATCGGTCGAATGAGAGATGGTGGCACGGGAGGGAGAGCAGGCAGAAAATGCATGGCAGAGAGGAAGGAGGCAGGGAAGCTAGAGGAGGGGAGCAGAGAGGGCAAGACAGAGGGGGCAAGCCAGGCGGGGCGATTCTTCATGTCAATGTGTGTGTGTGCTCTCACCAGGCCGCGCAGTGCAGGCGAAAGGCGACTGCCAGTGTAGCGCCATCAATGGCCATGGCCCGTGACGCTGCTGCACTGCCTGCATGCCACGAGCCCCCTGCATTCATGCATTCATGAGCCTTGTTCTCACCAGGCCTTGCAGAGTAGGTGAGAGAGCGAGTGCCAGTGTGGCGCCATCGATGGCCATGGCGCATGACGCTGCTGTACTGCCTACATGCCACGAGCCCAGGGCGCCCATGTGTTTCCCCACCTCCTCCCCTGTCCTCCCCTCGCCGTCGTCCTCCCCCAGGCTAGCCCCATTCAGGCCCCGCACCTCGCTACTCCCACAACTAACGCTGCTGCTGCTGCTCCTGCTCCCACGTTCCCTACAATCACCCTCCTCCTCCTCCACTGCTGCAGCCCCTCCCTCTCCTTTCCCGCCCCCCACCCCCTCCACCTCTCCTAACCCCCCAGCTTCCCCCACCCCACTCCCCTCCATCCCACATACCTCCCTCAACCTCTTCTCACACTCCCTCTCGGTCCCCGCACTCACTCTCACAACCCGGTCCTCTCTCCTCACCAGCCCACACGACCGAGCAATAGAAACACCCGTCTCCACCTTATCTCCAGTCAGCATCCACACCTTCATGCCGGCCCCTCTCAGCATCTGTAGCGCTGCCGGCACGCCCGCCTGTAGCCTATCCTCTATGCCTGTAGCGCCCAGAATCTGCAGCTGCCGCTCCGTTTCGTCTGCTAGTGCGGCGAGCTGTGTGTCCCGGTCGGCGGAGAGGGAGCGGGCGGCGGAGCAGTAGGCGGCGAGCCAGGCGTGGAGGGCGGCGGGCGGGAGCGGGCGGGTGGCAATGACGAGAGTGCGCAGGCCAGCTTGGGAGTATTGGTGTATGTGCCGCTCTGTGGCAGAGAGAATGCGGTGCTGTTGACGAGAGAGATCGTGCGAGGATTTGTGGTGCTGGAGATGACCATTCTCTCGCACACTCTCCCCCGCACCCACCACTGCATCGCCTTCCCTTTCCTCCAATCCACCATCCTCTTCCCTTCCCTTTTCCTCTTCCCCTTCCCCCTCGCCTTCCCCCTCGCCTTCCCCATCGCCTTCCCCCTCGCCTTCCCCATCGCCTTGCCCCTCGCCTTCCCCATCGCCTTCCCCCTCGCCTTCCCCATCGCCTTCCCCCTCGCCTTCCCCATCGCCTTCCCCCTCGCCTTCCCCCTCGCCTTCCCCCTCGCCTTCCCCCTCGCCTTCCCCATCGCCTTCCCCACAGTCGTCACCATCACTCTCCTCGTCTATCTCATCCCCCACCACCATCCCTGTTGCTGCACTCTGCTCTTCCCGGTCCCCTGCCCCTGCTGCTGTCCCCACAAAGCAACTGACATAACCCCCCAGAGGCCCCTGACACCCAAATCCCTTCCCACTCCTTCGCCTCCGTCTCCCACCCTTCCCCACTCCTCTCCCCGATGCTCCTCCTTCCTCTCCTCCAGGAAGCTTCCCGGCACCTTCTTCACACTCGGCGCGGCTGAGGACGGCGCTGTCGGCGCCCTTGACGAGAAGCTTCGCGGAACCATCCGGGCAGCGAAGCACGACGGACATGCGCCTGCGGGTGCTGTCAAACTCGTGCACCCCCAGCACCTCGTACCTGCACCGCACAAAGGGTAGGTGTGATGGAACGTGAAAGAAAGGCTCACTTAGCCGACAAACGGGAGGCACCTCAGAAAGCGCACGCATGTGCTGTCACACTCGTGCACCCCCAGCACCTCGTACCTACGTTTCACGAACGAGGGAGATTCAGTTGACTGACTAGGGAGAAGATAAATGGGTTTTGAGGCGCCTCAGGAATCGCCTGCGTATGCTGTCACACTCGTGCACCCCCAGCACCTCGGTAGCTGCACAGAGGGTAGGTGTGCACAGCGGATACGCTTCACGGCCAGGAAGAGTGCGACCTCCACAGAGTGCGACCTCCACAGTGTGCGACCTCCACAGAGTGCGACCTCCACAGGGTGCGACCTCCACAGATGTACATCATGTAGATCTGTGGAGGTCGCACCTTGTTGTAGATCTGTGTACGTTTGGCGTCTGACTCTGAGTTACAGCAGGCACATCATGTTCATGGTTCTGTTTTCTAGTCGCCTCCAAAGAAGAGCCAAGCCTGAAGCAGCAAGTGGCAACCCATACCACACCAGTGCATCCCTCCCTTGCCCCTTGCCCCTTGCCCGGCCTTTACTTAGCCTACCCTCTCAAGTTGACCCACTTCACAGCCTCTCACCGTTCGTCCTTCCCTCGGACGTTGATCACGATGTGGTGCTCTGATCGCTGCACTAGCTGCCAACCCATGCCGGCCGCAGCCTTCACCAGTGCTACCTCATCTGGCGACTCGCCCTGGTACTCAATCACCTCCGCCAGTTCCTCTGCCACGTCATCAATTGCCGCGTCAGCAGTGGGCACTGCTGCAGCGTCAAGCAGTCCCAGTTCCACATCAGCACCCACAGATGCTGCAGCATCAGGACTTCGATTCTGTGTTGCCATAACCGGCCCCCCATTTCCCTTGTGCTCCTCTCCAGCATCTTCCCTTCTTCCATCTCCCTCCCTTTCAATCTCCTGCTCTCCCTCTTCCTCCTCCTGAACCTCCTCCTCTGCCACGTCATCCTCCCCCTCGCCCACAGCATGCATGTCCAGCTCACCGCTCGCTGTCACGCTGACACGTGTCGGCACCACATCGTTGCACGCCGCCAGCACCAATAGGAACTCATCCAGCACCCCGCCAGCACCAGGCCCCGCCACGTCAGCAAACTCCCGAGCCAACCCTGCTGACAGCTGCAGCGGTCCCAAACCACCAACACCATCAGGCGGCTGCACCGACCGAGCCTCCATATCAGCCTCGGAAACCGCTCCAGGTTCGGCACCACCTTGAACCTCCACAGCCCGTGCATCAGCAGCAGGACCAACAGCAGCAGGAGCAGCAGACGCCCTTCGGATAAACTCAGACTCAGAGGCACCAGCAGCAGTGGCAGCAGCAGCAGCAGCAGCAGAAGTGTCAAAGGCTTTCCCGGTCGGAGTGAGGAGGGAGTGCAGGTCTATACCAGCAACGGAGCAGGAGTGGAAGGCCATGCGGTTCTCAGTGAGTGTGCCGGTCTTGTCCGTCAGCACGTGCCTCACCTGCCCCAGATCCTCATTAATGTTCAACGCACGGCACAGCAATCCACTCTCGCTCTTGCCACCACTGACACCACCATCACCACCTCTGCTCCCCTTCCCATTACCCAACCCCGCCGCTCCCACCTCCGCCCCATTCCCAACCTCCTCCCCCTGCCCCTCCGCCGCCTCCTCGCCTCCCTTCACCTCTCCCACGCGTTTCCTTTTCCTCCCCCATCGGCCAATCCTCATTCCCCTCCCACTCCCCACCCAGTGTCTCCTCCACCCCGCCCTCGCCTCCGCTTCCCTCTCCCCCTCCTCGTCACACATGTGCCGGTCGCACGTCATGAGCACAGCCTGAACAATCCTCACCAGCTCCATGGAAATATACAGCGATATCGGCACCAGCACCTGCAGCAGAATCAGCGTTGCGAAGAAGTTCAGCGCCGCCTCCCCTCCCACGCCCAGGTAATCATAACTCACGCCGTAGTACGGCAGAGCTGGTAGGTCATGACTGCCAAGCCACACGCCCATGCCGATAGCACAGATCAGGCAGAGCAGAGTGAGGAGAAGCGCGAGGAGGAGCATATCTCGGTCTAGGTGTGACTCTATGCGGCTGCGCTTGGACTGTGCGCCCACAGAGTTAAGTACCACCTTGCAGTCGCCGCCAGTGTACACTGCAACGCCCTCCACCCACGCTGTGTTGCGCACCTCGCACCCTCTAAGTAAAACGTTTAGCGGTCCCACAGCCACGCTGCTACTGGCAGGAGCCTCAGGGGTATTGCTAGGGCTAATGGTGGTGGTGATATGGCTGGTGCAGGTGCTAACGGTGCTGGCGGTGGTGGTGCTGCCAGCACTAGTGCTGCTGCTCGTGCCACAACCAGTAGCGTTAGTGTCTTTCCCAAAGCCGAATTTCGTCCCATTGCTTTCATCAGCATCTAACACAGCATCAACAGCATCAGCAGCAGCAGCGGCAGCAGCGGCAGCGGCCTCCTCAGCTCCACTGGAATCGCCACCACGTGCATCAACGCATGGGTTGTGATTGGTACCAGACGTGCCGCTGGTGCTGGCGGTGGTGCTCTCAGTACTGCTATTCCCAGACGGCTGCTGCAGGAAACCTGAGAACTCGTAGATGTTCCGCGACGGGGCCTCGCACGTTAGCACCCACCCCCGCCACCCTTCTGCTCCTTCGCCCTGCTTCTGCAGCAGGGAGCTGGCTAGACTGCTGCCGTGCTGCTGCGCTTGCAGGCAGCTGGCTCGACTGTTGCGCTGCTGCTTCTTTCTATGCTTCTGCGTCCTGCTCTGCCGAGGCTGCTGCTGAAGCTGCTGCTGAAGCTGATGCTGAGGCTGCTGCTCCTGATCATGGTTCAAAGGGGGACCGCCATCATTGCCACCACCACCTATGCTATCCCTGCCCCCTGCTACACCAGCGGCCGACTCAGTGCTTTTTAAAGCAGCAGAAACACTGTACCTGGTTTTGAGGTTCGTCTCGCCGTCCAGATTCATTGTCTCCACAAACGCGCGACCCGACGGGTCGCTAGACGCCAGAAGCACGATGTCGCACGGAACCGTCGTGTCCCCCCGTACATGCACCAACTCTCCCACGCGAATGCTCTGCCACGTGGCAGAGCACCACTGGCCCCCGCGGTACACGAAGCACTCGCGCCCATTCTCCTGCGCGTCGACGCGGTGGCGTCGCCAGTCCTCGAAGGCGTCTTTAATCGCCGTTACCGTCAGCACGGAGAGCAGCGGAATGACGGAGATATAACGGCCGAAGATCGCGAGCTGCGGGATCTGGTTGATTAAGATTAGCACGAGGAAGTAAATGTACGCGACGCGATGAAACTGCTCAAATAGGTTGCGAGGGAGGAAGGTTAGCAGCGTGTATTTACTCGTCCGGATGCGGTTATTAGCCAATCGGCTTCTATGGATCCTCCATCTCGCTAGCAGGCCCTCTCCGCCGTCCGATGCTTCTAGCTCGGCCTCTCGGATCGTACGGTCGGGATCGTCCACGTGAGCGATTCGCTGTTGCGGCTTCTCGTGCGCCGTCGCATGATTTGGAAGTCTCGCGGGCGACGTTTCTGTCAAACGTGACGCGTTGTCTGACGATCGCAGAGCGTCGGGAGCGGCTGCTTCCATTTCTGCTGTGCCGTCGCGTCGACGAAAAGGTCTCGACGGCTGCAACACTCGCATGATTCTGTCCATGCGCTAATGTCGCTGAACGGCAAGCGGGTTTCCCACGTGTGCAAGGTGGCGATGCGGCTGTTCTTTGGTTCCGCTACTTCGACATTCAATGGCCTCTAATGTTTCAAGCTGCTCAACTATTCGTGCTACTTCCCAAACTAATTGGCCTGCAGATTAGAACCTCTGCAGACTCAAGCTGGGCAAACGTTGTGTGATGAGGAACCAGTTCAGGCGGCGGCGCCATTCCCGAAGTCGAAGTTCTGGGCGTAGAAGTGGCCAAACAGCAAGGCTATGTTGGCATGGCTTTGTAGGTCTTGTCCAATAGCGTAGGCATACCATGCCGACATTGGGAGGGGCACCCAGACCCTGGGCAGGAAGAAAAACATCTATGCCATCCATTTGCACGTCGAGGCCCATCGGACGGTTTCGATGGCCTTCAATGGATGAAAGGACTGGGATGTTTGTGACGTGACGTCACACTGTCGAACCGCCCTTTCAGGAAACTTGGAACCTCCACCAAAAGAATTGGAACGAGCCAACACGCTTAGCGGAGTCAACATAAAGGTGAACAAAACTAGGTCAAGTCTGGCGCACTGTAACACCCATTTCTTCTCGCGCTCCAGTTCGTCAAATGCTACAGTGGAGCTTCGAGATTAGTACTGTACATTGCGATAGGTTGGATCCAGCCTAGGGATTGTCACAGCGACACTCAAACACAGACTCCCTCACAATGACTTCGGCCATTTCATTTCTGCAAGTTTCCCTGCGCGCCTGAAGCTCCTTCCTGTTGTAAGGGACTCTCGCTACGGCCTTATTAGTCTTCGAGCTATTTAGTTACCATGGCATCTTATCAACTAGCCAGAATGGCTGCCGCGTCACCGTTTGAATCGCTGTCAGACGATCTTCTTTCCATTATCTTCCGACTCGCAGGTAGATCCGACGGCCAATTCCAGCACGCACTTGTGTGCAAGAAATGGCATCGCATTGCCCGTAGCGTGCACGAGCACATCCAGATTCGCGAAGAGCGTCGCATACCTCCTCGCGAGCTCGCGCACCTCTCGTCATTCCCAAGGCTCCGAAAGCTCGTCCTCGCCAACGGCAGCATCACGTCCGTCCCTGACTCCCTCCTCTTGCGGATAGCCGACACGTGTCCAGATCTGACGGACCTCCACGTCGATACCATGGATCGACGGTACAGACGAGGGGGTTTCACTGTAAACGGACTTTCGTATTTCCTTGAGAAATGCACACGGCTGGAGGCGCTTCATCTTGATTGTCAGTCAAACCTGACCACCATTCCTGCGTCAATCGGCGGCCTTGCGTCACTCAAGAGCCTACACATCACCGACAGGGGGAGAATTACTCTCCTTCCAGACGCGTTCACCTCGTTACAGGCACTCGCGCATCTCGTGATTGAAATGCACGGCCTGGATGAACTGCCTCAGCACTTCGGCAATCTGAGGCTGCTCAAGTCGCTCCGGCTGGAAAGATGCACGCGTCTCCGCTCCATTCCCGATTCTTTCGGGCAGCTTACCAACTTGACGCATCTTTCCATCAACGGCTGTGAATTAGGGCTTCAGCTGCCCGAATCCATCTCCAACCTTTCATCCCTGCTGACCCTCGAAATTTCCAACTGCGAACACCTTTCGCCGCTGCCCGAGAGTTTCGGTAACCTGCTGGCGCTTGAAACCCTACGTCTGGAGGCCGTAGAGGGGATCACCAGCCTTCCCGCCAGTCTCGGGCAGCTGCAGCGGCTGCGGTTCCTTTCCGTGATCTACTGCCGCGATATGGACTTTATTCCTGCCTCCCTTTCCCGCCTGCCTCCTCTCACGGACCTTATCCTCCTCAACCTTCACCTCCAGCATATGCCTGTCGACATCGCTCTCCTCCCACGCCTACGCACTCTCAGGCTAGACGTTGGAATTGCCGTGCACCTGCGTCCCTCTGAATACCTCGCCACCACACTCAAGGTCCTCACGCTTCAAAGGGCTGGAACTTTGCAATCTTTGCCCGAGGAATTCGGGCAGCTGACTGCCCTGGAAACTCTGCACTTGGTTAAGCTTCAGCAGCTGAACAGCCTGCCAGCATCGCTTGGCAACCTGACGAGCCTCAAGGAGCTGAAAATAGACTCATGCAGCCTGCTGGCACAGCTTCCAGACTCCCTCACTCTGCTAACTTCCCTCGAACTGCTGGAAATCAGTCACTGTCGCAAGCTGACGGCGCTACCGCAGGGCATGGGGGATGGTCTGCATAGCCTGCGTGGACTGATTCTGCTCGCATGCACTGCTCTCACCCACCTCCCTCCATCCTTCTCCAAACTCTCTGCCCTCGAAACCCTGAACTTGTGTCATGCACACAGCTTACGAGGCGCGCTACCAGGGGGGTTCTCCCACTGGACAAGCCTCAAGGACCTCTCTCTCTCCTCCCTGCCACACCTGCCCGCCCTGCTCGCCTCCCTCCCTGCCATCGCTTGCGCTCTCACCAGCCTCGTGGTCGTCAGATGCCCGCTATTTGAGGCGCTGCCAGAGGAAATCGGACGGCTGGGATCGCTCGAAACACTCCAGCTGGTCGATCTGCCCAATCTGAAGTCGCTCCCTCGGTCGCTGTGGCAGCTGGAGCGGCTGAAGTCTCTGGAATTGAGTTGCTGCAGCGCGCTGGAGTTGCTGTTTGGGGATGCACACATGGGCGATGCACACACGGGAGCTGCCGGGCAAGAGCTTGGGGGGAGAATCACTTGCCGTGAGTTACCCGGTCACACTGGTAGCAGCAGTGGCACTGGCAGCTGTGGGGGATCTGAGGAGAGTGACAAGAGACTGTTGCTTCCCTCCCTTGGCCACCTCAAGATTGAGAAGCTTCCCCTGCAGCAGCTCAGTCCATCGCTGGGCTCCTTCCTGTCGCTAACCAAGCTGGAAATCCTGCAACTGGATCGCCTCTGCTCGCTGCCAGATTCCATCTCTCATATCACTCGCTTGCAGTTACTGGCGATCAGCGTTGCCGAAAGCCTGCTAGCTCTGCCAGAGTCGATAGGGCAGCTCTCAGCTCTCACATCCCTCCAGCTTAACTGTCTCCTGAGCTTGACTGCTCTGCCCGAATCATTCGGGCAGCTGAAGAAGCTTCGGTCTTTGGAGATTCACAACAGCCCGGGCCTAACCAGGCTTCCCGGGTCCTTCCCTGATCTCTGCAGGCTGGAGTCGTGCTCTTTGTCCGATGTCGGGATTTCGTGCCTTCCAGATGACTTCTGGAAGCTCTCTGCTTTGAACAAACTAACTCTACAGTCGCTGCCCGAACTCTGCAGCCTGCCCGAAACTTTTTCGCAGCTGCCCGGACTGGAGGAATTGAGCCTGTTCCGGTGCAAGCTGCTGGCGGGGTTGCCCTCGGGCCTGCAGCATATGGGGAAGCTGCTGGCATGCGTTGTCAGTGGCTGCCCGCTGCTGTCGGAAGGGAGGGTAGTGATTAAGGGTAGAGCGAACCTGGATGAGGGAGAGCGTGCAGTGGGTGGCTCAGATGACGAAGATGAGGAGGAGGAAGAGGATGAGGAGGAGGAAGAGGAGGAGGAGCAGGAAGAGGATGAGGAGGAGGAGGAGGAGGAGGAGGAGGATAAGGAAGAGGATGAGGAGGAGGAAGAGGATGAGGGGGAGGAGGAGGAAGAGGATGAGGATGAGGAGGAAGTGGGGACAGCGGAGGAGGACAAGGGGAGTGAACTCGAAGCTGGTGAAAGGGAGGGAGAAGAGGGGGATGAAGGGGAGGGGGGAGAAGGGGAGGGGAGTGAAGGGTAGGGGAGCAGGGAAAAGATGGAGGATGGTGATCCATGGTACAGCGAACCTGGACGAGGGAGAGCATGCAGTGTGGATGGGGAAGGCGGTGCCTCGGTCCCTTGGTCTCGCCCATTCGCCTCTCCTCCACCGTCGGATCCACCATCGTCCTATCCTGTCCGTCCCCCCTTTCTCCTCCGTGCCCCTTCAATCCTCTGTCGCACGCAGCTCTCTTTGTGCTTATCCTGCCAATGGCCTTGCTCTCCTTGCCTTTTCCGACGCCCCCCCCCCCGTTTGCCTCTCTGCCCGCCTGCCTATCCTTCGCAGCGCTGCTCCGTGGTGCTGTGCTGTCGAGTGGCGCCCATGCAGAAGGCTGCTGTGGTAGCACTTCTGAGGCAGCTGTCAGGGGAATTAACCCTCGCAATAGGCGACGGTGAGTTGAGTCCAGGGGAAATCACCCGGCACAATCAGGGATGGAGAGTTGGTCTTAGGAGAACAAGCAAGCCATTATTGAGGATAGTGGTTGATAGCAGAGAACTTAGCCTTTGCGACTGGAGATGGTGTGTTGATTCCAGGGGAACTAACTAACCATCCATGCAGGTGCATGGGCGTACAAGGGGTGGCAGGGTGTGCTGGCGAGCAAGCAGCTTCTGTAACTGCCACTTCAGCTTTGTCGTATTCTTCCGCCATCTCGTTTTTTTGATCTCGTAAATCTCTCCTACTGTCCTATTCCCACTCTCCCGCTCGTCAACTAACTGTAAGGAGCCAACGACGTGCCAATGTTTCAGACAGCCGCCATAGGGGTGGGAATTCGAGGCCACGAGGGGAGGCAGGCCGTGATAGCGAGCAACTTTGCCATCTCGCAGTTCCGCTTCCTTGCTCGCCTGCTGCTGGTGCTAATCGTTGATTCTCTTATTCCTCTCTTTATTCCCCCAACTTCCCATGCCTCCCCTCAGAAGCCAATGATTCAAACAGCAGCTTTAGGGGTGGGGATTCGAGGCCTTGAGGGGAGACAAGCAGTGATGGCGAGTGACTTTGCCATCTCACAGTTCCGCTTCCTCGCTCGCCTGCTGCTGGTGCACGGGCACTGGAACTACCACCGCATGGCCTACATGATCGTCTACAACCTCTACAAGAACACCGTCTTTGTGCTCCTGCTCTTCTGGTGGGTCTCGAAATGCCCAAAAGTGGTTCGTGGGCATTGGTTGGAGGAACTACATCCGTATGGCATTCGTTTACAAAAAACTGCCTTCGTGCTCCTGCTCATGTGATTTATCTACCAATTCAGAACTCTGTTCCTTTCTTTCTTTCTTCCTCCAGTCCCTCCGACGGTGGACGTGGCTCCACGCGGCTCCGATTGCGATGGACATCCGACAGTGGACGTGGCTCCACGCGGCTGCGATTGCGATCGCAATACTCGTTACGGTGGTCTCGATAGTGGTTATTGACTACATTCCTCTGCTGCCTGAACTATGTTCCTTTCTTTCTTTCTTCCTCTGTCAGCAGCAGCAGAGCCACTACCGCTCCTGTCTCAAATGGACCCGCAGCTGTGCCGGCTCCTTCTCACACGGTTTTTGAGGCGCCTCAAAAGTCCTTCTCACACGGTGCGTGAGCCGCCGTGCCTCCTACCTCGTTCGAACGACGCCGCTAGACGTGCTGCCAGAGGATACTTGGTCGGCGTGGGGGGAACAGCTGCTGCACACTTACCTGTCAGCTGCACACACGGCGATACCAAGGGAAGAGGAGGAGCGGGGGAGAATCTGGCAGCAAGCAGCCCTGCCCGTGACACTGGGCGGCCTCGGCATCACCAACCCAGCCACGGAAGGGGCGTTTGCGTACCTGGCCTCGGTCATCTCCAGTGCCCATCTGCTGCACTCATTCGGCGACACGGTGCACCCCGCCATCGCCCGTATGCTGCCACTGATGGATGCAGACGCAGACTCACCTTCGGCCCTGCCACGGCGCCTGGCAGCGGCAGAGGCCGCGCTGCCCCCAGACGGACTAGAGGCGCTTCAGGTCGGCCGGCGCACCCCTGATGGTCCGAAGCTACAGCAGGCCTTGTCGCTGGCAGTCCATACCGCCCGTTACATTGAGCTGCTCGACGCCTCTCGGGAAATGCCCTTGAACCCTCTCTTTGGCCACACTCAGCGCCTGCAGTCTCTCCTCGGCCCTGGGGCAGGAGATTGGCTGCTGGCCATCCCCCTGATCCCAGCTCTACGCCTAGGCCCCTCGCAGCACTCCACTGCAGCCTCCTTCCGCCTAGGCCTTCCCCTTCCTGTCCCACGGCGTTGCGACTGCCGCTACCGCACGACCTTCCCTGACCACCGCCTTCCCAACCACCTCATGCGCTGTGAGAAAGGCGGGGGGAGGACTGCCACTCACCATGCCCTTCGTGATGAGTGTGCAAAGATCGCAGCAGAGGCAGGATACACGGTGCACACGGAATCTACAGTTTACTCTCCGGTCGAAAACCTCAAAGCGGATGTTTGCATCCGCCATCCCGACACCGGCGAGGTTCACATGTACGACATCACCGTGACGGATCCGGTCTCCCACCAGGATGAGCTTGCGCGGAAGGCGCCTGGGTGGGCCGCAAGGATGCAAGCCGCCAGGAAAGAGGACAAGTACGCGCGGCGGAACGCGTGGGTAGGCTTCCACGCCATGGCGGTGGAGACGTACGGCTACCCGTCCCCGGGAGTGCACGCCTTCCTCCGCAGCTGCGCCGAGCTCGCAGGCAAGCGGCGGTTCAACGCTGCGCCGAAGTCGAGGGAGGTGGTCAGGCTCCTCACGGAGTACCGGCAGCGCTGGAGTGTGACTCTCCAGCGCGCCCAGGCCAACGCCCTTCGCGACAAGACCCACGAGGCCATTGCCGCGGATGAGCTTGGCCTGCAAGGCCCATTTGGCAGCCTGGGGGAGGAGCAGCTGTACCAGCTGCTGGAAGACCCCACAGGCCAATAGGGCCGTGGGGAGAAGGGATAGGAGAGGGAAGAGCAGTGGTACCTTGGTGTATTTGTTTGTTTGTTTGTTTGTTTGTTTGTTTGTCTGTTTGTTTGTGTGTTTGCTTGTGTGTTTGGTTGTTGGCGTGCTTGATTGCCGGTTGATTGCTTAGACTAGCTTAGTACCAATGACTGTACCTTGCTGCTATTAATACAAAGGACCGTTCGAAAGAGAGACCGTGAGAGAGAGAGAGAGAGAGAGAGAGAGAGAGAGAGAGAGAGAGAGAGAGAGAGAGAGAGAGAGAGAGAGAGAGAGAGAGAGAGAGAGAGAGAGAGAGAGAGAGAGAGAGAGAGAGAGAGAGAGAGAGAGAGAGAGAGAGAGAGAGAGAGAGAGAGAGAGAGAGAGAGAGAGAGAGAGAGAGAGAGAGAGAGAGAGAGAGAGAGAGAATACTGAGAACGCAGCAAAACAAACATGTCCTCCAGAGTACTATCATGAAGCACGATACTAAAAAAAAGGCCTTACCAGGGCCTTCTTTTGGTTTTCCGGTACTCTGGTTTTCAGAGTAGTTTTTATGCGAACTCTGAAATCCAGAGTGGTTCCTACGCCTTACTCTGAGCTGACAGAGTAACCCTATTACGAGGATTAAAAACCCTGGCACGTCAGAGTATTTTTTTTTTGAACTCTGATTGTAGTGTGAAACGTTGTGTGAGAAGTATGGAATGGGAGTATTATTTTTCCAACTGTTTTGCGTTTTGATGGCACTCACATGGTTCAGTCAGTTCAGTCACAAATGTATTTAATAATTGTATGTAATATAGAAAATCCGATACTAACTAACTAATAAAGAGGAGGCCCCTTGGGCTACACTAGTAGTAGTCATCCTCACCCTCCGATTCCGCATCAGACTTGATCTTCGCCTTCCCCCTTGCACAAACTGGTGCGCCGTGCGCAGGTTTCTTGGCGGGGCGACGCTTCTTCTGATTGCGCCATATGTCGACGACTTCATGCCACACGAAGTCGTACTGGAGCATGTGGATGCTCATCAGCTCTGTCAGACGAGCGTCATTGAGTGACGTGCGTATCCAGCTCTTGATGACGTTCTGCCTGCTGAGCCCACGTTCGCACTCAACAGTGCTGAGCGGTAGCACGGACAACGCCTGCCACATCAGCATCAGGTTGGGGTACGTGCGAGCCCAGTCGCGCGTCTTCAGCATGTTCTGGAGCCCCTGATAAAAGTCCTCGTCCTCGTGGTGGTTCTTCAGGATGTGGCAGAAAGTCTTCAGCTCGAGCTCTGCCGCCCGCAAGTCGAAACCTGCGCGCAGGGACAAATTTGGGTTTTAAACGGAAAGAATTTATTGATAGCAGAGCTTAGCCAAACAACACCAGGCATGCGCAACTCACAAAGTGTTCTAGATTCTCACCGGGCAGACAGTTGTTGAACAGCACAGAGTTTTGCCGAAGCCACATGAGGCAGCGCCGCTCGCGTGTGTCGAGGTTGGGGGGCCACGATTCCACCTTGAACAGCCTCGTCCCGCCCATGCGATGAAGATCCGCCATCCGCTCGGTGAGATTATGGACGGTCTGCTTGGCGAATGCCTTGCACATCTTCTCGCAGTCGCGCATTGTTCCGCCAAACTTGTGGCCAGCGATGGGCTCCTCACTTAGAACAATCTCTTGGCTCACTGCGCGGCCGTTGGAGTCTACGCCCTCCACTTTCACCTGACGCTTGCCATCCTTGTGGCGCTCCAGGAAAGGCGACAGCTGTGGGCTAAGGCCCTCCCCGAACTTCGTCTCGTAGTCGATGTAGCGATGTTGGATGTACGACACCGTGCGGTCCAACTCCTGCGCCACGATTGTGACGTCCACCTTGGCGGAGGGCGGGAGGGTTTGAGATAATACAGCAAAACATAATAAGTTCACATTACTGAGTGAACAAACGTGTAAACCACCATGCAGAAGTGGGAAAAAACGTTGAGATTATACTGCATAACAGTACCTTTCGCCTCTGGAAAAAGCGGTTCAGATTGTTGAGCTCGGCCAAGATGTCTGCCAGAAAATAAAGGCAAAAGTGAAATTTCAACGTCTGCAGCACTGCCTCGCCCCGTGCCAGCCAGCGCACGTTGTGGAGCCCCTGGTGCTCCAGATTGGTCTTGTGGTACACTTGCTGCAACTCCTTGAACCGCTCATACCAGGGAGTTGACTTCCCGACGATCGACCCGAGGGCCCTGATGGCGTCGTCCACGATGTTGAAGTCTGGATAGGCCTCTGCTGCATTCTTGACAGCTAACGCTTCTCTGCACGGTAGGGATCAGGGGGTTGCAGAGTAGGATATGGAAAACACAAAGAAAATCACATAGACTCAGAGAGATGTTTTACCGTGTTAGAATATCTAAATCATTTTGGAATAATAACACACCTGTGCGCGATGCAGTGGCACCTGACGAGATGCGCAATCTGCATGCGAAGGCGCGTCACAAGCCCAGTTTCCGATCCGACCATGACAGAGGCGCCGTCTGTTGACATCCCAACAATTTTCTGAAGGTCGATGCCGATGGTCTCCAGATGTTGGACCAGAACGGCATGCAGCGACGCCGCGTCACATTGAGTGACGGTAAGGAGCGTCAAGAACTCCGTTACCACCACGCGGTCCTTCAGGAAAGTGACAAACACAATCATGTGTTTGCCACGAGCGCGGTCTGTGCTCTCGTCGCACATGATGCCAATGTATGGCGACGCGTGCACGTGTCGCATTTGCTCGCGGTGAAGGAAAGTGGTTAAAGCCTTCACCATTTCCGAAAAGCCGTACCTGGCCATTACCAACGGTTCGTTGTTAGTGCATATTGAAAAAAAAAAAAGGAAAATCAAGGAGTACGGAGTTCAACATCAAGTGAGACTCACCGTGTGATGTACACGCCGTAAGACTGTCGCGGTATGTCGGCGACGCCCTCCTCAGCAAGAAACTGCACGAGCCTGGGGTACATCTGAATCGATGTGTCCGTCTTGCACACAAACACGATGCTCCGCATTAGCCGCGAAATCCGCGCGCCCTCCGGATCGCCCTTCGCAAAGTCATCGATGCGTTTCTGCTCCTCGATGTTCTTCATCAGACCCATTTGCTTCTTCATGGCATCGTCGTGCTTCACGCTCTCCTCGTGCCAGCGAAAGGACCCAATCTGGAGGTCCCGTCCTCCTTTCCCATTGCGGCCATAGCGAGCATCGTCCTTCCCGTGCTCTTTACAGACACTGCAGCGAACACAAGGGAAACCGTCAGTCGATTTATCAAGGATTAACCATGAGAACCGCGGAAGCCATTCCGACGTGTAGGTTTTCTGGGCCTTCAAATACAACTTCTCCTTCTTCTCCTCTTCGGTGAGTCGGACTACAGGTGTTGTTTTCTTGGCAGGTGGCGGCGGAGTCGGTGCAGGCTTAACGGGCTGCATACCAATCCCGAGCACGGATTGCGTGAAGCGCCGCTTCTTCGGCGTCTGTGAGGCGGCTGAGTCTGGAACAGACGCATCCACGACCTGTGTTGGTGCTGTCTCGGCCGGTTCAGCGATGCTTGGGTGGTGCGATTCATCGCACACCTCGTTCTGTCCGTCGTGGTCTTCATCTTCTTGGCGTGGCGAGCGAACCCACACCTCGACCCCAGCGGAATGCTCGTCGTCGTCCGGTCCATCCTGACGATACCAATCGTCGCCTTCCCAGTAGTCACCACCGCCATCTTGCTGGTCGCCGGCGTGCTCGTGGGAACGATGTACCCTGCGCAAAAACTCTATACCTGTGATGGGGCGAGAGCTGCATGACGGGCTGGGATCAGGATCAGGCGCAGCAGAGTCAGCGTGGTCTGCAACGTTAGCCATCTGTGGCAAGGCTGCAGGAGAAGGGTGGCTTGAGGCGTGGTAGTGATGCTGGGTACCTCAAGCCTCAGCACAGATTGTAGAAATGGATGGAGAAACACGGGTTCACCCCCCGGTGAGCCAGCCGAGCACTAGCAGGGCTTGGCCGCGTCGCCCACGTTTACACCTTCCGTGCGCTGTATCATTCCTTGATCCAAACTGACGTTCAGATGTGGCTGGGAAAACTGCCACTCCAGCCAATCAGCTCGCAAAATGCCGCCAACACACGAAGAGAAATCTCGATGAAGTGCTCGGCGACTCGGTTTAACCCCGGTAATTGGGGAAGGGGGGGGGGGGGGCGGCTAGGGGGCCTGTATCCTCTGTACAGAGTAAACACCATCCTTAGAAAAAAAACCCTGGGGCCTCAGATTGAACTATATCTCAACTCTGATACATCAGAGAAAACACAACTCCCAAAATCATAACCCAGCAGGTACAGAGTCACCCTAAAAAACAACTCTGATTTTCAGAGAAACAGAGTGATTTACTCGGATAACGTGGGCCCTGGGCCTTACCTGTCAAGAAGAAGTCCGTGACTCAAAACATCCTCGCTTTTGTGCGGTCGGACTAGATTGTAGCCGCGCTTAATAAAGAAGAGCGTGACACCAAAGAAGATGTTCATGATGCTATAACGTATGTGCGGATCATCATTGCCACACTCATCCTCGTCCTTTGCTCGCCACCATCCCCTTACAACGCCTCGGCGACAGTGGATGAGTTGAGAGAGTGCTCTTAAGTCAACGCTATGCATCCACTCCCAGACACGGCGAAACTTATTGCGTGACAATGCTTCAATAGTTGAGACCTCGTTAATATCACCCTTCAAACGAGCTCTCCTTGTCTCGCAAGAGAGTTCTTCCTCATGGAGATAGGAGAGTCTCTCCCGGCAGAGCAACTGCCATAGCGACTCTTTCGCGATGCGGTCAAGCGTCTTCGAAACGCACGCCATGCGCGCTAAGACGCGAGGCCCTGCTGGCTCGGCGCGACGAAGAATGGCGTAGAGGAGGTCTGCGGGAAGAGTCTCCATTGTCGATGAGAGCTAGCGATACCGTGGCGACGGGGACGAAGAATTGTGGTGACGAATGCAGAGGAAAGAACCACGGAAATGTCGAATCTAAGGCTGACGGTTATGACGCAGCGTTCCTACGGAAGGTGAAGCACTGCTGGAGGGAAGCGGTGCAAGGGGTGTAGCAGAGTCACCAGGAGCTTGTGAAGGATGCGGTTTGACGGATCCTACAGCCAGTGTAACGCATCACCTACCTACCCTAGCGACTATTCTAGCTAAGGCTCTCTAAAGCGCTACCTACGCAAGGTAGCAACTTACGGGAAGAAAGGGTTGGAAGGGATGATTGTTGATTGGTCCACAATTGTGAATCACCATCCACTAAAACACAAACAAGGTTGGAAACCAACCCAACCTTTGCATTGGTGGACATTCAAACCAATAACATTTCAATACTGTTGTTACAAGTTACAACAGGTAACCAGACATTTCTTATCACAAATAAGTTGTTCTCATTGGTTGCAAATCCAACCAACATGTCACCTAAGCAAACTCACCTTAAGGAGCTCCTTACCCTTGTTGCCATGGAGGAGGTGGAGCTCTCAAAGGGGTATTGAGGAAGGGGTTTGGAGCTCCAAGGCTCATTCTCTCATTCCCAACTCCAATTGATCAATTTTGGAAATGGGATTTCTCTAAGTACAGAACTTTTCCCTCACAAGTGCTCTAAGCTCCAACTATCCCTTTGGTGGAAGCTACTCTATCACTCTCCAAGCTTCAACTACCAAGTCTAGAAGACTCAAAGCTATCTTAGGAGCTAGTTTACCTTGTGTGTTTTATTGTTGGCGTTTTTATAAGCCTACTAGTGACCCTTTTTGTGGGCATTCATTTATAAGCCTGGGACTTTATTGTGCTTTTAAGGGCGTTTCTCTATAAGCCCGTGTTACAGCCAGTCTGGGGAATGTGGCGACCAGGCTGGAATGCATATCCGAGCCTAACCGCGCTGATGTGGCTCGGGACTTCATCGAGGCGACGATAGGTTCGCCTCACCGCAAGAGCGCTGACAGATTCTAGGGCCATAGAGAGCTGCGAGGCGGGAAAGGTGGTCAATTCTCGATAGTCTCTCTGTTGATAGGATCGTGTGGCTGACTACAGGCGAATTTGGCGGCACTGGGAATTGCGAGCAGAAATTGTCTGGAATTGGAAATTCCGGGTGGCAGGAAAACCTTATCCAGAAGAAACAAGGGCATCAGCTCTAAGGCGAGTTTACTTCGGTACTACGTGGTGTCTCAAATCGGCTTCAATATTCCCATATGGCACGGATCAATACAGAATCATGACGTTCTGCATAATATTAAAGTGTGTTTAGGATAAGCCCCTAGGGGCGTCTACACAGCACAGGCTTGCATTCAGAGGATATTTTTTTGGTTTTGCACTTGCGCATGGGGATAACTTTGTACAACACACATTTGAAATGGGTAAGAACAAAGGATTCTTTACCGTAACTTGGGAGGGACAACACCCTCACATAAACATGTTGCGGTACGCGTAAAAGCTAACAGGACTATATTGTGCCAACCCAGTCTGGTTGGATGCACGTGAGGTTGAATCGCTTGACGCTCATCTTGCCTTGTAGCGCCAGCGCCAACACATCCATCTCCTCCACGTTCCACAGCTCCCTCACCACCGTCTGCATGGCATGGCATGACACGGCAACAGGAAGAGGTGTGTATGACAATGCCGTAGTAGAGGTGATGATGAGGTTGATGTGCATGAGCGAGAGTGGAAGAGGAGCAATATGACGACGGGAGGGAATGATTTGGGTGAACACTGGAGTGACGGTATGCTGATGGCATGAAGGGGTTGGGACAGGAGAGGAGAAAGAGGAAGCAATGGGAAAGGGAGCAGTGGTGGAGAGAGGGAGATGAAAGAAAAAGGAGCAGGGAGATGGAGGCGGAGAGGGGCGCACCTGTTTGCGGCAGAGCTTCTGGTTGAGCTCGCTGACTATGGAGCGGAAGATGGGCATCGCTGACTCGGCGTTGTGCGCTAGCGTCTGGTGGCGGTGGGACATGGAATATAAACCAGAAGTGAAGTGAGGAGTGAAGAATGAGAAAGGAGAAGGGAGGACTGTGTGTAAGAGAGGATTGTAGGCGAAACGGACGAGAACAACACAAGGTTGGAGATACGACCATGCAAGGCACAAGATGAATGAAACTGAACAGAATGATGCAGTTTCTGCTTCCATCATGGTGTAACACTGTAACATCCCAAGGGGGATACGTTGATGCAGCACACATACATACCCCGTCAGGCCATGTGGGCGGTGCAAGTATACGTGCCAGTGATGTGTGCAGCATGACCCGGTTGTACTGGGGGAGGGGGAACAGGTGCATTAACGACAAGGTGAGAAATGATTATATAGGGGGAGCACAGGAGGAACAGGAGTCGGAAAGGCAGGCTCAGAGGAGATAAAGTACAGGTACGACGAGATGTGACACTGGAAAGACGGGTACCGGAGGTTGAGTTGAGATTGTGGGAGGCGGATTTGAAGGTTGAGCTATGGGGCAGGAGGTGAGTGAGCTAGAGTAGTGCTGCCAGACAACACAGAGCAATACACTCGCTGTAGGTTTGGTATGCAAAGCGGATTCCATTCGCTCAGCCAATCCCGCAGCTCGCTCTCAGCTCGCCTCTGCAATCTGATTTGACTCAAAACACACGAGAGCATGTGAACAGCAGCAGCAGCGGCGGCGGCGGCGGCGGCAGCAGCAGTAGCAGCAGCAGCATTAGGAGAAGCAGGGCGGAAGGAGGGCACCCACCAGCTGCTGCTTGGGAGCGCGGGGCAGAGCCTCCTTGAGCTCGTCCCTCAGCTCTGCTGGATCCGTGCCCTCCACCACCTGGTGCAGGGAGGTAAGATGCGGTGCAGTGCGGTGCAGTTTGATGAGGTGCGGTGTGATGCGGGGAAACAGCAATAGAACATGTGCATACAAGAAGTCCACGCAGGCCCGATTGACGCTGCACCTGCCAGCATGCGAACAGCACGGCAACGGTGGTGAGAATGCCGTGCATTCAGGGAAACACGCACAAGTGCATACATCTTTCACACGCATACTCACCCAAACACACGCCATGCCAAAAGAACACAACCTTACACATATTTCACAGCCAGCGCGCCGTAGACACGTCACACAAGTGCATGCACCTTTGACACGTACGTGCCTTCTCCTCCACACAGTCTCCACACGCTAACACACCCATGTGCATGCAAGCAGTCCGTGTGGGACTGTGTGGGTAGGAGTGACGCTTCACCTGCCAGCACGCCAGCAGCACGCCAGTGGCGGTGAGAAT